TGCCAAAGATTAAAACTAGACCCATATCTATCACCATGCACTAAACTAGATCGAAGTGGATTAAACATCTAAATATTAAAGCAGAAACACTATACTTGCTGAAAGATAAGTTAGGTAGAATTCTTGAAGACATTGGCATAGGAAAAGACTTTATGAACAAGACCTTGTGCTTTTGAGACAGGTGCAGTGCCACTGACTTAAATCCCTGGCCCTCCAATTTGCACTGTTTTCAATTGTTCTGTTCCTAAAGCTTCTCAAACTGTTTCTCAGGAATCAAGTGCAAAACCTAGGACCTGACCTAAAATTATATTGAGGGCCTGGTAGAACCAAAAGTCCCCAAGAAGAAAGCCTGAGGAAAGAGAACTGGTCCTTGCAGACCTGAATTTGAAGGCAGGGGTGCAATTAACAGTTGCAACATGGACCAGGATAATGGAGACACCAGAAATTCCCACTTACAAGTATCCATTCCTTCCCTGAGGTCTAGAGTACAGGATTCCTGGTTACAAGTCAGCCCTTTATTTCCCTTTGCCCGATGTCTTAAATCCCTTTTCTACTGGCCAATGGGGAAACAGGTCCAAAATGCCTATGTCTCTTTGTCGGTGAACCTGCAATAAAGCTCATAGTTTTCACAAAAGTTGATGCCACAGAAGTGGTTTTTCCTGCTCCTTGGGCAGCGAGCCTTTGCTCTGAATCATTGTTAGCACGTATGTACTTGTAGGAAGTTTCTCTAATTTCTTTTCTTAGATCCATCTTTTCTCCTGGACTTGATTCTTCAGGACAGGCCTATGTGGGGTGTTACAGTCCATGCATTTTGCTAAAATTTGTGACATCAACAAGAACAATTTTTTGTTGTTGTTTAATCTCTAATTTTCTCCCATGGCCCTGAGATTTTGCACCTTTAAGTTTCTGACATGCGGAACCATGTGGATGGGTGATTGCATGCTTGTGAGAGAAGTCTCAGTAAAAAGAAATTTATAAAAAGAACAGGAGAAGGCAGTATGGAGACCAGCAGCCGTGGACATCTGGCTAACATGAATACCCAGGACTGCTTGACAATCTTGGCTCGAAATTTAACAGACTGAAGCATAGGACCCTAATTTGCAAATAAAAATGGTTACCATCAACAATTAATAGCAACATAAAATGATTTTAAAATAAGAAAAGAAGTGACAGGAGGAGTTAAGCTAATGGCACATAGTATGGAGTTTAAAGAGTATGTCTGCACCCATGGCTGACTAGACCTCTGTCCTGATTTTGGGGAGTTTCACAATTTTTTAGAGATGTGAATCTTCTTAACTGAAGAATAGGAGTGATGATATTTCAAATATGACCTTTGTATTACTTTAATACAATGGAATTATTTTTACATGGTAAAGAAGGAAGAAAAAAGTTTGATTTAAATAATAAATAACTACTCTTCACCATGCCCGTTAATGCACTAACAAATAGAAGTCAATTTTTGGCATTTCATAAGAGCTCTTCCACATTAAACATACACACAGTGAAGGGAGTAAGCATTTTCCGAAATATCTTCAACATTTAAGATATTAGATCCTTTGTATTTTTAACAAATATAGAATTTATTTCTGAATTTAAAGCTAACAATATGTTATTTTTAGGACATGAAGCAAAATGATTTAACCACGGACACACACAATAAATACTGCAGGTATTAGGGTAAATGGTCCCATGATTTTCCAATCTGAATTGTTCTGAATATGCTGGGGCAATTGATTCAGATCAACTAAAGTGTGCCTTCATCAATGCACAGTGTTTCAAATATATACTCTTTTTTTATTTTTATTTTTGTTATTTTTTTCTTTGTTGAAAGATTTTATTTTTTTATTTTTTTCCATTAAGCTTATTGGTACATTTTAGATATAAAATACAGTTACATTCATCATTGGGATCTTGTAC